TAACGATCGAGGAAGCGAGAGAATAATCGCGATCGAGCAAGGTGTTTACCGAGAGTTCCAGCGGAGAAGTCTACCGGATTGGTAAGAATATTCAATCCCAAATGGAGATTTGAGAATAACAATGGCAAGAGATACATGATGTCGTAAGATTCTCTTCTTACTTACGAATAGATTCTTTTAGTTCGACGAAGAAATTAATGAATGAAGGTATATAACCGGCTGATCTGTTTGCGCACGATGCGATACTTCGTGTAATCGTATTTTATAATGAGGACTGTCGTCGCGACTGTCATTTATATCAGACAGCTTTTAATCTGAGTGGGGAAGCACGTTCTGTAAATATTGTAAGACTTCAAAAAACTACCGTGAATGGAAGTTGCATTTACATTTAGTTAAAATAAATCCTCCACGAGTTTGTTTAATCCTTTCGCGCAATTAATAATTGTCTATGAAAAATATGCTCAATTGTCCTTTTCTGTTATTTGTCGATAGCTATTCAAACCTTAGCTTTCGATTCAAATTTTACATCAATTATTTTCTTGTACATTTCGAAAAACTTCCAGGTTATTTATATATCGTATAACATAAAAGTTAACATTTTATTAATCTATTTATCAGAGATTTTCTGTATATTAAAAAAATTAAAACTGGAAAAGGAAAGTTGGTGTCTATTAAAAAAAAATATTTTAATGACTAAAATTAAGCTATACGTCAGTGGTTTCCGAATAAATAACTCACATTTGGTGATGTTAAGTAAATCAAGGTCACGTGAAATTCACTCACATTTGGCGTTAATAAATCAAGATGACGTGGAAAGTCAATATGATGACTAAATGAGCAAAATTATTACAGAAATTATTCGTTTAGCAAAATATTACTGAATCATAACACTTTTTATATGTATCATATGTAAAAAAAATGGAAAAAATGGAAAAAATATGTTGGTAAGAAAATTCTATTATCAAATACACATTAATACTTGTGAATTACGGATGGATCTCCGTACCACAGGTCATGAAAAACTCTAAGTATCAATCGTTGTGAATGATCAATCGCAACATAGTCAAATGAGACACTTCCGCGAAATACATGAGTCTTACCGATATTTTTTACAGTATTTGTTAACCATTGATTGATCTTTTACTACTTATGTACTAAAAAAAATATCAAATATAAAATATCAAGTTCAACCTGCCAAAATGCTATAATAATTTTAAATGTGGTGTAAAAAATCAAATGGTCATTTATATAAAAAAAGATAAGATTACCTCCGAATTAAAACAACACATCGATCGTTATGTGTAACTTGTAATCTAGTGCCATATGTGCGACTGACACGTTAAGTACTGATAAGGTATCAGACATATAAAAGGTGCGTTTTCAGCAGAGTTGGCGAACAATCTGTGAACAGATCGCGGATTATTTTATTTCTGATCGAACATTTATTCGTGAGCAGTTTGCAAACGGTTAATAAGTAATACGTGATTGGTCGTAATTTTTTGATCGGTTGTTGTTTGTGAGTAATTCTTTACAAGTTTGTTTTAAGAACAGTAAAATCACGAAGAAATAGAAATGGATATAATCGATTAATAATCGATTATTCAAATAATTAATCAATTATTTTTTAATCTTGAGGGTCGACAAACAGGATCTGTATCTTGATTGTACTATAGTAAAAGAATGTAATTGATTTATAATCGTGTCTATTTAATGTAATAGTTTTTAAATAATCAATTATGACCATCCCACGAAGAAAACGACAAAATCTAATGTGAACCACAGCATGTTTAATTTTCGTAAATATTCGAGAACGGATCACGAACTTTTTACACGCATCGTTTACAAATAGATCGAACAGTGTTTGCGAGCAATTCGTCAATATAGTTGACGAACTCTTTTCCGATGATCACGCATTTTAAAGATTAATAATTTTTCTCATTTTTCAACTAAGCCATTTGAAACATTTAAAATACTTTTCTGTTCTCTACTTCTATGTATATAGGTTTTTGATCAATTTATAGTTAAATTTTTTTACAGAAATCTAATATTAGCCAACTTATTACTGAAAGACAGTAATTAATTTCTTATTTAGAATACTAAAGGCACTGAACAGTATTGCTTTTAATACTTGAAATAAATAATTTATTATTACAGTATTAAAAACGGTCAGTATTAAATTTCTATAAAGGTTGCGAAGAAAATAATTTTTTAACAAAAGAACAATTTTTGTTAATTAATTTTTGAGTAAAAAGAATCAAGTGGAGAGTTTACAGATTGTTTTCTAATTTTTATTTATATCTATTATTTATCAATCTTTATATATCACAATATAAATAAAGTTAAAGTAATAGTATGTTATTTTTTGTATTCTTCGTGTTCTTTTGAGTAAAAAAAGAAATCTTTTAAAGGAAATTTTTTAATAAAAAGAAATGTAAGTATATATAATAAATATGATATCTAAAAAAAACCATTCGTCAATTTTTCTATCTTATCAATTAAAAATTCTGTTTTTTAATTCTTTCTTCTTTTGTACATATTTTTTAAATAACAATCGACTAAAATGTTTAATTATTTTAAAATATTTTAAATTTAAGTTGACATACAATAGTTTACTATTAAGATGATATATTATTGTATATAAACACGCGTATACATATACATATACATATACAGGGTGGGGCACCTAAAACAAAACATCGGAATATCTCGAAAATTAAATGGTGGGAAAAAATGTTTCAGACAAAAGTTGTATGATTCGAAGTGGGACAAATAATGACGAAATCATTTTTTTAAATCGATTTTTCAAGGTCACATAGAGGTCACTTCCACTTTTTTAAACGAACTGGTATGATTTTTTTACACAATCTGGTTCCTCTAATTATTCTGCATATAAAAGTATTAAGGTAGTGATATCAAAAAACCAATAGTTTACGAGATATTTTATACTTTATTGTGGCACATATTAATATAAAATGTTAAATAACTCTTTTAATTTTTTTATAATCGTACCTTAATACTTTTATAAATAGAATAATGAGATGAATCAATTGATGGAAAAAAACACAGTTGCTTTAAAAAAATATGTATGCGAAATAAACAATTTTTTAAATAAGCAACAAACTACAGAAATGTATTTTCTATATATAGAGATTAATAACAATTATTATTGTAATAACACGCAATGAGCAATAATAATAATGAAAATAATATAAATAAAATTGCAAATCATGTGTACGAAAATAACTCGGTTGACAGCGTTAAAATTAACATCGCAAAAGCGAATAAGAAATCTAATCTTTTCAGCCTTCAGAAAGTCTTCAAAAGTTCTTAAAAAAAAACAGTCATATTTTTCACTTATTATTAGTGCGCTTACGTAAACATGGTAAATTACGCACTTCCGTAAGTGCAAAAGAAACATTGAATTGCAAACAAAAATTACAGCATGTGCACAAGAATAGAATTACTGTACAAAAGTTTATTTAAAAAAAAAAGAGTAAAACGATATCGTTTGCAACACAATCCGTAGCGTCACTAAAATCCATTCTTATAATTTATTTATTCAACCACTTTCAATAATAATTTGTAGCAAATCATTAAGTTTAACTGGAACGCGTCCACTATATGATATTACATTTAATTAGTCTTTAATCTGATATATAAAATATCTATGTATATCACATTAAAATATAAATGTTAATTAAATCAAAATTTTTTTACAATATTAAATTCTCATTGATTAACATTACAAATAGAATAACAAAGTGCATCAGCGTTTTTCAAAATTAAATATTTTTACTTCTTTTATATATAGCATCTTTGTGTTTTATGACTCACTGTGTGTTCGAAATAAAATTTTCTCGATCAAATTAATCGAGAAATTCGTTTCTTAAATTCTTAAGTTCTCGTGTAACTTCGAGAACGTTCATGAATTGATTATAAGCGGATACGTATAAGCTATAAGCACATTCGAGAATAAACTTGCAATTTCACGATCACATTACTCATACGTTCTTGCTCTTTTCTGATGCATGACTGCGATTTCTCACTCAAGATCTTAATTGAAAAAGTGGTACCTCTTGCGATATTACTCTACTATGATGAATCATTTTACTGAATTAAAACTGGTATGTTTCTATTGAATTTAACTACTGATATCAATTGTTGCGAATAACAGGTGAAATTAATTTTTCTTTAGATCTGTTTTTTTTTATTTCTACATTAGACAACACTGAATTCTCTTTCTCGTTTTTTGTATCTTGTAATTCACATAATAAGATTGTTTGCTCATCTTAATATTTAAAATACAAAATACTTGCAATTTTTCGTTATTAATACTGCAATACAAAATACAAAATATTTTGACTCCCAAAATACAAAATACAATTGTCTTATAAATACTATTTTCTAAGTTAAATCTTAGAGGTGGCTTAAATAACACAATATCAATCAAAAGGAGCAATAACCACAGCACAAAACGTTATTGTGAAGTCATATATTTAGAAATATCACAACAATAATAAAATTTCGTAGACGTTTCGGTCAAAATTTGACCATCTTCACGACAATAATTTATGATTTTCGCATGATTAAATTAATATAACTATTATATAATATAACTATTTTCTAAATAAAAGTTAATATTCAAATATATATCAGCCATGCAAATATCAAACATATACCTATCTCACTTTGAATTCCAAAAGTGTGATACTAGTTCAGCCACAGAAAATAGACCTTTTGTATGTCGAAACTCAAATCTAAAATTTTACTATTTCTAAAACTTCACTACGTACGTGACAATCCGTTATAGCCTTCCAAGTGAAAAAAAAAACGCAGTGCACGCATTGAGAAAGAACTGCAAACGCGTAGTGCGATCGCGAAATTGCTAGTTTACTGATTACTCTCGAATATTCTCGAAGCTACGCGATTTTACACTGCCGCGTCGTATGCGCATGCCTGCGGTTACTTACGAGGCTATAAAACATCCGACGCGAGCTAGCTTTGACAGAAAACAATCGCAAGTTTGATCGGTGTGAATCGTTGCTAGAAATCAGCTCGCTACCAATTAACTCTCAACCGAGTTTCATCAGCCAATTTCGTTCGAGATTTTCCGTGTCTCTTTGTCAAGTCTTTCTTAAGAAAGCATGTCTCTGGTGCCGCTGCTATTCTCCGACTGGTGGGAGGATCTGGAATATCCACACCGGGTTTTCGACCAAAACTTCGGCCTGGGCGTTCATCCGGACCAACTGACACACCCCAACATCCTCGAACGCTTTGCGCTGCAACAACCATCCCGGCGTCTACGTCCAGGGCATATGATGTATTATAATCGACCATGGGGTGAATTGTTGCGCAGCAGGGAAGACGGTGGCATATCGACCGTTAAAGCGGACAAGGACAAGTTCCAGGTGATGTTGGACGTGCAACAGTTCAAGCCGGAAGAGATCAATGTCAAGGTCGTGGACAAATCCGTGGTAGTCGAGGCCAAACACGAGGAGAAGCAGGACGAGCATGGCTGGATCTCACGGCAGTTTGTGCGCAAATACATGATACCTGAACAGTGCGATATCGATCAGGTGTCGTCGAGCTTGTCATCAGATGGCATGTTGAGCATCACCGCACCTAGGAAGGATAAACCGAAGTCGCAAATTGAACGGACGATCAAGATCCAGCATACCGGCAAACCGGCGATCCAAGAGAAGGCACAGGAGAAGACTCAGGAGAAGACTCAGGAGAAGAAGAAGTAAAAATAGAGTAGAAGATAAAAATTAAATCGTATATACCGCGTGTTGTTTCTCTGAAACCTTGTGTTCTTCTGTTTTACATTCATATAATAATATAATATATTCAAATATTATTATTTTTTTCTCTTTATGTGATATCAGATATAGAATCGGAAACATTTATATTTGCGTTACAAATCACAAAAATTATCACTATATAAAAATATAATTCTAAAATTATAAGTGCGCGATAATATTGAATAATTTTGTTACAATCCTGTCTCGCTCAAAAACCCGAAGCACCAATTTTTTGGAAGTATTGAGAGCGAAGCTCAGACGAAGCGATTTCCCTGTTAAAGTAGCTAAGTTCTGTAATACTCGTTCATCGTCGCGACGAAGAAACACACTGTCACGAAAAAATACAAAAGCGTGAACAATAAGCGAAACGACAGTGCGTCCTTCGTTATGATAATCAACGAACACTTCTTGTCATCATTTTTTTCATTTTTATTTTTGTAATGAAAATAATCGAATAAATTATTTCGGCGGAACTTAATCGAGTGTTTTCCATGTTTCTTTTTCCTATCCTTTGTATTTCTTGGTAAGAATCTTATAATCTTAATATGTGTTAGTTTAGAAAGGATTATTGGATTTATGAGTTAACTATAGCAAGAGAGAGAAGTGTAAGTTAAATAGTAATTTTCGAGTGCTAGAAATTCGTCAAAAGCATATATTTGAAGTTTTGAACAGCTACATCTATATGTATATATATATAGCTCTCTCTCTCTCTCTCTCTCTCTCTCTCTCTCTCTCTCTCTCTATATATATATAGCTAGCATCTATATGTATATTTCATTATATTTATCTTTGAAAACAATTCACAATAATTAAGTTCGATTATATATATTATATATGTGTACTGTCTACGTATTATTTATTTTCTTTCTCAATCTATAAATTTTTCGTTTAGGATTATCTGCATTAAAAATAAAAATATGAGTAATAAATCTAATAATAGTTTCGCTGATTTAAACAATAACGAAGCATAAATATAGTTATAATAGCTATTGATCGAGAAAAGATTATAGAGACATCTCTTGGAAAAACTCAGGGAATTACGGTTAGAACCAACGACATATATACCTAGACCAAGCATTCTGTCCGTAGTTTGAAACCGGATTAGGACCAGTGGTGTCTCTTTCTATTTTGATGAGAGCAGTGCGAGAAAGTGAAATAGCATGGGTCCTAAAACGCCACATAAACTGTCAATTTCCGGCTTCAACCCCAACTACTGAAAAACATGGGAATACTTGGTCTATGTATATATGTCGTTGCCTAAAACCTATAACCGCAAAATGCCGCGCACTACTACCCTCTGACAAAGTGGATGTAAACTACATAGCAACGTTCACTTTTCTTAAGGTACATCGTTCACTTTTCAAGGCTGGAGATGATAAATCGAGAAGTGCTACATGTAGCATGATTATAGATTTGTTCACGTCGCATGCGGGGTGATCCTGATTGATCACGGCTCGATTGGACACCACCAATCACAGCGGTGCTTAGGAGCTTTGTAGTCTCAAGCGCTGTGAGTGGCTCGTGTCCAATTGTCCAACTGGGTGCCACCCTCGCATGCTCCAACATGCTCCTGCCATAGTTCCTACTCACTCTAATGAGCGCATTGGAGTGACTAGGACTTCTTCTTCTTCTTCAAAATTAATGGCAGTCGCCGCAAAAATAACGGCAATTACGGCCAGAATCGTAGATAAATTGTGAAATAATACACCGGTCACTTCAAACCGGTGAATGGAGTGAGTAGGAGCTATGATAGGAGCATATTGGAGCATGTCGGAGCATGCGACGCGAACAAACCCAGAGAGAATCAAGAGAGAGTGAAGCGGATTCAGCCGGAAGCTGCCATTCGTTAGGGGCCTTCTGCAATAAGTCGCAAGTCAGAAGTTCTAAGCGATCTTAAGTCATAATCGGTGAAGTTGGCCAATAGCTAACTTGAACGACTTGGTTAAGACTGGTTAAGACTTCTGACGTTCTGATTTGCGGCTTATTGTAGAAGGCCTATTAGGGTGAGTAGGAGATATAGTAGAAGCCAAAAACATAGAGAATGGATTGCGCGATCCGTGTGTCAAAATGGTCGATAGGGAAGAGAGAGAGGAACCATGGCAGACGGCCATTTCTATTTCTGTCCATTCAATGGTGTAATGGGAGAGAGAATGAGAAGGAGATTGGCCGTCTCCCACGGTCCTTCTCTCTCATTATTGTCGACCACATTTGATACACTACTTAGATATACGGATCGCGCAGTCCATTCTCTACGTCTTTGAGCGGAACCAATCAGAGAAAAGAACGCTCCATTCTCCCTTAATTCTCTCTGAACAAACTAATAGCGTTTTCGGCCCGATCGGGTTTGCACCAATCTTGATTGGATTAATCTTTCCTATTGGTTGACGTCACCCGCTCTACCAATAGGAGAGCACAAAACGCCATTAATCCAACCCAGGTTGGTGCAAACCTGGCCGGGCCGAAAACACTATTATATGAACCAAATATCGATTTATCATCTCCAACCTTAAAAAATGGACCCTAATGCCTCCGGCACACCAGCGCGATGTTCGTCGCGCGCGACAGGCGATATCCAATGCGTGTACAGCTTTACCAATGTTCTCATTCTAAAGGTATACTCTCATTGGATATCGCGTATCGCGCGCGACGAACATCGCGCTGGTGTGCCGGAGCCATACAGGGAATGGACGTTGCTATGTAGCTTACATCTACTTTGTCAGAGGGCAGTAGTGCGCGGCAGCATTTTGCGGTTACAGATTTTGGACCGTCATGTCTTTCTCTCTGATTTCTCTTTGATACAACATATCGTTAAATAGAGTCATTAATTTAAAGAGATTCAAGAAACGTATTATAGAAGTATTTAAAATACATTTCGATTGGAATTATTTCGTTTTCCCTAGAAAACACAATTAAAATCTAGTAGCAAATTCTATTGGATGCACTCAATACGCACTACCCAGACAATATAGAATATTTATATGATAAATATTTATTAATATTTATTTTTTGAAATGTTATATAGATATTTTATACATATTTTATATAAAGCTTTATTCGAAATATTATTAAAATATAGACTAAATATTTTATGCAATATTTATGATAAATATAAATAAACATTTTTAATAAGTATTTTTTATTTAGATTATAATGTCTCATTGAGTATTTTCATAGCATTTACTATAACTATTCTAATAAGTATTTCATAATATTTATAATAAATATTTATGATCTGTGCAATCTAAAACCACAAAAATATTTACAAAATATTTAAAATAAATCTTATAAATATTTCTAAATATTTTGTAAATATTGTGTGCTGTCTGGGTGGTGCACATTAAAGCCGCTGTATATAAATTTACGTAAAAAATTATGTTTAATGTAAATATAAAAACGGATTAAACCATGAAAGCCTCAATACATTTTATTATACTGTTAAATAAAATCTGTATTTTATAATTCGAAATATTTGCATTTTACTTTTACACAGATCAAATTAGTGTACAACGGCTTTAACCCTTCGTGAATCAGTTGGGGTATGACATACCCCAGCAAAATGAATTTCTATAACTTCTTAAAAAGTACCGCGCGCATATTGTCGATTTCGTGCAATTGGAGAGTGTGTTGTTACCAATCATACTAAATTATAGTCGATATATTTATGATGAAATAACATGGGGTATGAGATATACCCACATTTAATCGAATTCGCCATAGGAAATAGTTGAACAATTTCGATCAAAATTTGTTCCAAACGATTCCATAATACTTGCCTTGCAGTGCCTGTATTTTGTATTTTGCGTGTCGACAAAATTTATACAAGTTGTGGGATAAATAGCTGTTTCTTTGTAATAAATAATAAATATATTAAAAATAGAAACCAAATTTAAGCTTACATATAATACATACGTATATTTTATATTCTTTATTTTACTTCATAATGACAATACATTATTTTAACAAATGTTAGAATTTAAAAAAAATGACCCAAACGGATTATATTATTTTATATATTTGTTAAATAGAAAATAAGTCTATACTAAGAAGAAGCAACTTTGACATTTCGTATTCTCAGTTATTTGAAAGCGTGACAAAAGAGCGACAAGTATTATTATTTTCGCATATATACATATCTAAATTATATTTATTTTCCGAGAACGTATCAATCAATTAATAATAAAATTTCAATTAATTAATAATAATTAGAAATTGTCTTAATTATTTTAAAACCTTTGTCTGTGTCAAAAATAATTTTATTACTGTACGATAGTTTGGAATGATAATCCGAATAAATTACATACGCATTCGTGTGACGATCAGAGTGTATTTATCATGAATAACTAGCGATCAAATCTGTAAATAATCTCAAAATGCCAGTAAGCTGCATAAGATACGTAAGAAGAATCCCTACGTCGACAGTTGCACGACAATCGGCAATCGGTCGAAAATAATAAGCGCAGGATAGTAGTGTGGGTGGACACTTCTAGTCTCGAGTCGAGCGTGCAAGACGCAGAGAGACAGTCTGAGGTCAGAGAAGGGGATGGATCGTGCTTATCGTGCATCGTTGCCAAACCCTGCAAAACCTCCCTCTTTCTCAAACTACCTCGATCTCAACCCCCTTTTTCTCTCTTTCGCTCTTTCCTGCTTACTCTTTCGACTTCCCTGCATCTCCAGCTGACGTTTGCGGAAAAAAAAAAGAAAAAAGAAGCATGAAGACTCGTGTGTGCCATGTTCGATCCAATTAAATTTTACTGATTTAGTACGATAGGAGATGCGATTCGAGAAAGATTGTTAAAAAAAAAAATTATTAAGGGAAAGAGACATTTCACAATATTTCTCGCTTTAGCGCATATGTCTTTTTTTTCTTTCCAATCTATATGGAGGGATTGGCAAGACGCATTTTTTCCGTTGCAATTTTGACCTTCTGAAAAAAGATAGAGGATCTCTTTCGAAGTGATTACCGGCTATGCCTCTGAACATTACTTTAACAATGATGCTTCAAATGATGTCACGAAACCTTTGACGTAATCACTCTCTTAACCGACCGATATCAGAGAGCTTCTGCCAGCACTTGTGATCGATTTTATCATCGTTCCATCGTGCCACAGATAGCAGTTACATGTGACGATAATCTTTATATCTTTTTTTACTTAACCTATATTTTCAACTAATTAATAAAAATTACTAGTTTAATTTTGCTTTTCCATATTGTAAGCTATGATAAAATCATCTTGGCAGACATAAGTTTCTATTTTTATTTAAATATCAAATTTTTTAAAATTATTTTTTGTTTTACATAAGTAAGACTTATATACACAGGGTGTCCGGAAAATCGCCCGCAATACTTCGGGAAGTG